TGTATTTCATTTCAATTGTTAGGCCATTTGTTTTATACAAAATTTGACTCTAGTCTACCTGATCTTATACATAAGGCTCACGGAGGGTGTGACTGGTCGACGGGGGTGCTTACTTCTCTACGGCACCTGATGATAGCACTGTGGTTTATGCCCTGACCACAGATTTGTTTTGTCTATAGTTTTTTTTTTTTTTTTTTTTTTTTTTTTTTTTTTTTTTTTTTTTTTTTTTAGATCTATCGCTGTTCATTATTTTTCATTCGTAAAAGTTGTGATTGAAAAGATGCTCTATTTATAAAGCATTTTTTTTACTGGATGTATCCATTTGTCTTTTTTAGACTGAGAGAACATTGAGCAATACTTACAATGAACATATCAAAATCAATGCTGAGGTGTATCAAGATGCTTCAGACCAAAGAAACATTGAATAGCGTTTGTTGAAACGTGATATAGACGTTTTATTAGGTAAATTCGAATGATTATTTTTTTTTAAAACATGGTCATATACACATATATGATAAGAATACTCTGATTTTCCATCAGTGAACATTTTGTTGACTTTGTAGACCTACAAAGATCTGGAGGCTTATTACAATATTAAGTTATCCTTTTCCTTCTCTTAAGAACTCATTAGATTATAAAGTTTTTATGTCACTTCCTTCTGAGTTCAGCTGTAATAACTCTTCTCTAAAATTGCTTTCTACCTTTTTAACACAGGGAAAAGATGAAAATCCTCTATAAGGCCTTGAAATAAAACAAATTAACTAATTAAGTAATGGCCGAAATATTGTAAAATACAGTACTAGAGTTGATCGAACTGGACTAATGCGAACGCACGCAAAAGTATGTATTTACAATAAAAAGTATTCCGGGATTCTCCTAGTCTGCAAGCTGGTCTGGATATATCATAAATCGAATAAGTGACTAGTGACTCATGGCCTCCAGGTAGAGTTTTTTTAATACAATATTTGGATAATTCATAATAGTCAAAGCAAGGGTCGTATTAATTTTTCTTTACAAAAAACTGTATTATATTTCTCCTTTAGCTAGAAAAGCAACAACATGTACAACACATATAAATAGCTCTCATAATGGAAAGTTTCACCTTTGATTCCATACAAAGTACTTAAAGATATTGAGTACCCAACGAAACAAACATCCTTCCTTATGTTGTAAGAAAAGGATGTAATAAGCGGTAATATTATCAGAAACATTTAGTAATTCATATGAGCTTTTTATTGTTTGGAACACCCATGTTAAAAAGTTGGCAGTTTGTTAAGTACTTCAAAGGTTTAAAATACTATTGTAAATAATACTTTTATTCATAGCACAGGAAGACACTTCACCATCACTAACTACCTGTGGTATAATGTGACCACTTTTACTGGAATTCCTCAGGGAGTGTGGTACAAAAAACACAGTCATAGGAAAATAGTAAATAAAAAATTGGAAGTTGTGTTTTCATATTAAAGAAAACATGCATGTTTTGAAAACTTGAAAGGCTTTTTTCATGAAATATCTTAATAATAGGTAAATAAACTGGACAGGTCATATCTTTAAAAATGACTTAAGATATAACTCTGTTTCTTTTTAATTTTAATTATGTTTATGGTATGAGAATAAAAAAAAAACAACAAAATCTCAAAATTCAATTTTTGCTCATATAACCCCCATTTTACCAGTCGAAGTATGTCATTTATATACGTGTATGTCCTATTTGAACTTATGTAGCATTATTTAAAGATTGATTTTTGCGAAATGTTATTTTTTCACATAAGACATTTTTAGAGGTTCGTGTTTGTCCTGCTCCAAATTTGTCTTCAATTTGTTTCAGTGGACTTTTGAGATAAATTACTATTCATTATCTTCATATTTTTTCATTATAATGAAATGTAACTTGAGGAACTTATAAAATAAATAATCTGTTCTAGATTTTGATCAATAAGTATTATAATATAAGGGTTTTACCAGCTGCCAGTTTGTTGTTGACAACCGAAGTACTTGCACAGAATTTTTTTTCTTGTTTACTCCATAAGCCATTCACTAAGCCACATCCTAATATGTTCAGTTACATATATAAGTTGTTCATCATTGTGATACGTAAGCGGTCAGGGTAGTCTAGTGGTAGGGCGTTTGATTCGTGATCAGGAGGTACCGGGTTCGATTCTCGTTCTCGGCTCAGCGTTAAATCTAAGGTGTATAACCGTATAAGCAGAATTTTTAGCAAGGATTTAATTTTGGAATTATAAGCGAGGATGCTGAGATCGCTAAAAATTAATTGCGTTTTATTTGTAATAGCTTATTTAGTGAGTATTTTAAAATCGCTAAAATTCCTTCTCGCTGAATATAAAATACCAATTTTTAAGAACAAATCGCTATATTTGCGTCTTGATAAAATTTTCACTTAGACGGTATAAGTTAAAGTCATGGCTCTTTCGGATGAGACCTTAAAACCCGAGGCCCCGTGTCACGCTGGGCGTTGGCACAATATAGAGAACATTCATTGTTCGATTGCCCTGTGTGCCGAGTATAGGTCTAAATTTGAAGCCATTCACCGGGAAATATGAGTCAAAAACTCTCGAATGGGATAATAAAATAACGTACAATAAAAATATTATTGTAAATTTACCAAACATTATTTTGTTACGTACCTTGTTCCATAATTTTACGGCAACATCCCTAATTTAATATTGTTTTACTGTTTCCTGTTCAATTCTCTCTTGTTGATTAACGGTAAGCAATTCACGAATTAACGTCGACAAAGCATGCAACAACATAGCGTTTTTGCAAGGCGCATTATTAATAATCAGTTTTAGAAGAAGCTGGCTTTATATTGTAATGTGATAATCAAACTTGTAAAAATATGTCATAGCAAAAAGATGAAATTCTTCAAAATCGTGTAAGTTTCAATTTTAAATACATGTTCACTGTACTGTGTAAATACCATTCCATACAGAAGTACTCTGATTTTAATATCAAGTTCTTCGTTTACGTTACACTTGCAAAGAAGTGGCATTTGGATACCAGCGGCCGTTTTCACAAAAAACGACTAAAAAAACTTACGTTTGTTTCAAATTCGTTTGCATAGTGAATATTGATCTTGATTGCAACTTGACAACTAAACTCTACATAACAAACGGAGTAACTTTTTTTATCATTAGCTTTTCATATTTATGCAGCAATTTTCCATAATCACATGCATATTGTTTCTATATCTCCCAAATGACAGAAGCATGTTCTGCGTCGAGCAAATTAAGTTTACAATCAATAATGATATTAGGTAAAAGTTTTTAAAAAAAATCATGCTAGAAAAGATTTTTTGCTAGATTGAATTTAACATAGCACAAAGTGATAAAAACACCGCAAAATATCGGGAAATTATTTTTCTTTCTTTTTCTTTCCTACGTTCATGAATGAAGTCGAAATAAAAGACATCACAGAGTTAGACACATATGTTTCATATTTGGATATTTTACTAGAAAAAGAAATTTTGGCAAACTAACAACTCAAGTCTAATGTAAAAGTGATGACTTTTATCGTCATCTTCCCCTTTTATGTACCAATATAATATTATCACCTGTTGATTCGACACGCGAGAGCATGTTCTACACCTGTTCAATTTTTCAAAAGAGACAGGCTACTGACAAATAAGTTTATGATACAGGGATATGAAAAGATCTCGTTAGAATTCAACATCCTATGGTGGATGTTAAGTCAAATATTGACTGATGGTTTTCACATGTACAGGAATTGTTGGGCCATTATTTTCACACCGCATTGTTTATGAGTTTTACCATTTACTCAATCCTGACAAAGAGCACAAGGCGGTTGTGTCCGGTTGACAGGGGATGCTCACCTCTCCATTGCATCTGATCCCACCCCTAATTTTGAGAGGTCCGTAATTGTTCTTTGCACAATTTGTTCCAATGGACATTGAGCATTGTTATTGTTCCTTATCTTCTTATTTAAAGTAAATTATTATGTCTCCGTTTTCTTACTAAATTTTTTTTATGAAATATTTCGTATACGTGATAGATACATTGAGCTCACGACGCATGCGACCAGTCGACAGGAGAGGCTTACTTCTCCAAGGCACTTGATACATGTACCAAATATGGAATTTCCAGAAATCTATGCTGTACATGTATATCCTGTTCGCAAATTTGTATTGCTTGCAATTTCTTTTAGATCAGTCAATGTTCGTTATCATAACCTTTTCATTTATTTTATATAATATAAGAATACATGTATATGGATATACTGGCTTTTAATAACATTTAAAAAGTTCTTTTCCCCATTGAATGGTATTTTACTAGTACATTCAAAGTTACGAAAGAAAATGTTGTTTCTTTATGTGTACTTAGCCTGAAGAGTTGCCCTCTAATGTTTCTGATATTTTATTTAATGACGAGATTATAAAAAAAATTGAAACGCGAAGCAAAAATATCATTAAATTTATCTTTGACAAAATGATATCTTGTACATGTGTGTGTCTCAAAAATATTATTATTTAAACTTTATGATAACATGATACATTTGAAATTAATTTGAATTTGAATTAAAAAAAAGAAGAGTTTTATTCAGCCCAACAAAGAACAAAAAAAAAATATTTTGGCATTTTTGAAAATTGAAAGTAATTTCTTATAAACTGATTTGTGAATTAATGTACATGATCGTTAGCAGAGAGGAAACATTAGAAGTGTCTTACATATGAATAATACAAACAAACAACTAGTTACACAGAATTTTTTATCAAAATTAAATCTTTACCCTTAATAAATTCTAATGGCGTACATATTTTCTTTGAAATCTGAATGGGTAAAATATTGCAATGTTACCCTTTTTTCGAACCTTATCCTGTAAATTCAAGGTTTTGATACGCACACATGGTGTCAGACATATTTATTTTTTCATATGAACATTTAATATTCGAATCATCAAGGTCCTCGTAATCAGATAAAACGTCTTTTGTCGTTGAGGGTGGTGTAATCTTAACATTCTGTTCATCCTTCTGTTCTGTCTGTCGTGCTGTCCTCTTTAAAGTCACACAGTGTTGTCTCCTATAAGAAAAAAATTACACTTTCACTTTGTACTATATTAAAAAATTAATGATATTTGTTCGAAATATTTCGAATCTACTGTAATTTTATCAAACTCATGTATGGAGAAAGCACCATTTCTCCTAAGTCCATTTGATATCTTTTGTTTAATATTCTGAGTTCTAAGAAGTACAGGGGCCGTTAGAACACTATGTTTGATTTTACGTAGTGGAATTAAGATTGGGATCATTCAGCAATGAATTTTTTTCTTCATAATTATTACTTTTTATTCTTTTATTAATAAAAAATATTATCAAATATTATAAAGATCATGTACGAAGCGTTTAAGCCATATTTCACAAACCGATTATCCTGTCATGAAAGCTGATATAGTTTAAATTTTCCACTAGATTAGCTTAACTCCGCCTCCAAGATTTAACTTGGGAAATGATTCCCGAACATTTTTGACCAATCACTTTCCGCCTTCCAACTTCCATGGGTTTTCTCAAATAGTCGTCTGTTCTCATTTCGCGCTTCATTGTGTAGAAAAAAGCCACCATCATTCTCTGATACATGGAATGTTTAAATTGCAAAAGATGGTTTTCGTTGCGTTTTCCAGTTTTGGAAAGACTTCAAAACTCAATTTAATTTGCAAATTTTTCCTCTTTTTAAGTGGAAACCTAAAGAACATCGATTCATACGAGTGGACATCGAGTTAATATAACCCAAATTGAAAGCTATGAAATTGAATTACGTTTTATTTTTATTAAAGAATAACTATTGTAGTATGATTTCATTTGTTATTTTCTTGACAGCAAGGTAGAGAATAGACTGCAAGGTATTATCTATAAGAAACGGAATATTTTTTGAGATCGATCCCCCCAAAATTTGGACTGGCGTTGGTCCCCCGTTCCTTTTTTATATATGTAGTGCTTACGTAAAATAAAATATAGTATATTTGCGGCCCCTGTGCTTAGAAAGAACACAGTGCATTTTTGTTAGCACTGTGCGATTTTTTTAGAGTTATAATAGCCTGTATCTTTGTTTCTAAAAATTTAATCATTAATTTTATCTGTTATTCAATAGATACTGCAAAAAAGTAATTTCACGTACTAGAATCATCAAATTAATACCCATGTTTTTGGTTTGATTTTTCACATTATACAACAAATTTAACAACTTTGTTGTTCATTAATAATACTACAGTGTACCTTTGGAAAGAAACGGATACAGCAGTCAAAAGTACGACAAGTAGTACTACCACTATGGAAAGTCCTATCGTCGAAGCACTTGTTGAAGTGTCGTCTGGAGAAAGAGATATACATTAGTACTTTAGTACATTTTTTTCAGTTACTATATATTTACAACATTAAAAGAGAGTAGGACAAGGCAAAAAGGAAAAAGAAATATTACAGTGAAACTTACAAAGAAAATCACATGCAACACCAACGTAGAGTCCTTTGCATCCCCGAGAACAACTTCCATCAAATCTACTGCATGTCTCATCTTGTAAACAGTGACCACTACATCTATGTTGACAGTTTACTCCATATAAACCCTGGGAACATTCTGTGAAGAAACCTCGATTTTGGTAGCTTATCACACAAATATATCTTTAGCTCAAAACCATATATTTTTGTATCCTTCACTCTAATTGCATTGGGATAACTACACAGAATAGTAGATCTACTTAGGTAAAATAAATAAAACATATTTTAACAGATCTTAGGAGTACTGTTAGTTACATTTTTTTTTTATTTCTAGTAACCGTAACAATATGAAATGTAAAGAAAAATCGATCGACAGAACAATGTATCAATTTTTACATAAACATATAACTTGTTGTAGTATTCTTTCATAAAGGCACTTCATCTGAACGTTTGGCCAAATCTTTTAAATATATATAAATTACAAAAATTGAAACACAAGTATTACTACAATTACTATAACCGGTCATAGTAGCCTAGTGGTAGGGCGTTCGCTTTTTTAATCCGATAAAAATAGTCCTCTTGGTTTAAAAAAAGAATAAGATATGGAATTCCTTCAAAAAACCAATCTTACAGATTTGGTTGATTTTAATAATACTTTATTAGCGGACATGTTTTTATATTCCTCTGAAGCACAATTTACTCAAAAACTTCTACATTAGAAAAAGAAAACACTGGCTGTGGCCTTAAACTCGACATTTAGAAACATCGACGACGTATTATCAATTAACAAGAGTTACTTCCATTCATATACCCCAGTGAACTTGAGGTAAAAAACACCACAAAGTCTACTACATCTGTTTCATATTTGGATGTTTTACTGACTATAGACGTATTAGAGGATAAAAGCAAACTAACAACTAAATTGTATGGTAAACGAGATTTTAGCTCTTTCCTTATTTATGTAGTAATATCCCACTATCACCTGCATATGGTGTTTACATCTCCCAAACTTATTCGATACTTATGAGTATGCTCCAACTGCAATCAATTATTAAACCGAGCCTGGCTACTGACAGATAATTTGATATTATAGGAATTACAAGAATCTCGTTTAAAGTCAGCATTTCGTAAATAATGACCATGTAAGCAAATATAACCTGTCATTGGGGCATATGTTGGCTGAAGTGTTTCATAACAATTGTTAGGCCTTTGTCTTAATACTGAATTTGACTACGGAATCCTTCGTCTACCTGATCTATACATAAGGCTCACGGCGGGTGTGACCGGTCAACAAGGAATGCTTACGCCTCCTAGATACCTGATCACACCCCTTGATTATCCAGTGGTCCGAGTTTTATGCCCTGCTCACAATTTTGTATTGTTTGAAGATTTCTGTTCATTATCTTCACCTTGTCATTGTACATTAAGAAAGCATAAAATGTGAGGTTAAAGGAGCAAATATAATCTCCGCCACTTTTTTTGCTTTCGGTACTGTGTATAATGTAAAACCCAATCGTGATAGACTTCTTGTTTTGCATATGGTCAGACTTAGCATACCCATCCATAATTGCAAATTTGAATTTCTTTTATTTATGCACCCTTTCAATAGTTTGAGCCGCCATCAATTTTTTTTTTACAATTTGATATCCATAGAAAAGGAGGTCTGAATTACTTTTCATTTTTAAGTTTTTTTCTCTCTCGATTCTTACTAAATGAAATGCTATAAATCATGAAACTATCACTATTCATATTTATTTCTCAATGTGAAATATTTTACCAGTTGAGCAGTTTGGTGATCCTGTATAACCAGGTACACAATTACAGGAACCATCCACGTGACTGCAAATGTCAATACAATTCTTAGAACAAGTCTCCGAGCAATTCGAGCCAAATGTACCATCGAGGCAAGCTGCAATGTATGAATAACATGTTCAAAAATCATTTGATAAGAAAACATTTCGAATTTACTTAGTCCTGGCAAAAATACACAGGATACAAGATTTGGGCTTGGGAATTTATAGGTATTCTTTTTACAAGTGCATTTCAAGATGTAAAATTCCCGTCACATTAAGTATATTATCGTATTGTTAACAAATTAATGTAGATCATATCCAGTGAATACTTGTCAGTTAATTTTATTAATAAGAAAAATTCAGAAAACTTGTAAATATGACAGTATTTTTTAAATTCCATTTTACACACCTTTTTCAGAAAACTTGTAAATAAAAAAATATTAATTTCATTTTTTTAATTCTATTTTACATACCTTCACGACAGTGGGGTTTGTAATACCCAAGAGCGCAACCTTTTCTACAGACACCATTAAAAGGACTACAAGTTTCATTATGAAGACAATAACCTCTACAGATATTTACGCAGTCGTGTCCAAATGTCCCAGGAGAACAAACTTTAAAAGAAAAATATATCCTGTTGAACTTTAATTAAAACCCTTTTTGTTTGCTTATTAATTATTTTCTTAAAAATTACTAGGAATACTTCAAGAGTACATTTTATAGATATAATTTAGGTTATTAGTATATTTGCTTTTCATGCTAGCTAACTGTAGATTCAGGCACTTTATACATGTACTGGCATATTAAGCATACCTTTATGGCAGAGTTCCCCCCTGTACCCAGGCAGACAGCCAACATCACAGTGTCCATTTTTCTTATTACATGGATCATCATTACGGCAATTACCACTACAGTTAGAGGTACAGTCTGGACCATATCTTCCGGCATGACATGCTTTTATAAAAAGTTATCATACTTGTTTGTTAAGTTTAACAAATTCATATTACATGAATGAAATTTATACGAATTCAGTTTTATTTCTCGTTGTCTTATTAACGGTTTTCATTTATTTGTTTTTAATTCCATGGTTATTATCATTTCTTCTTGAACAGTTAAGAATACGTACAGTTTTTCTGGGTTTTTATTTTTAAGAATTTACCATTTATTTCATTTCAATGACAAGTTTTAATTTTTTCTTACTTTTGTTACACTGTGTTCCTGTCCATCCGGCAGCACACCCGTTTTCACATTGACCAGTCACGTGATTACATGTGACGCCATTCAGGCAATGACTTGAACACTGATATTTACATTCAAGACCATAAGACTCAGACGGGCACTCTATATAGAAAAATAACTTAATAAAAAGTAAATGCATAATACAGTCCTAGGTAGATATTTAAAACGCGAGTTCTATAGTTTATTACACACTTTGATTACAAAAGTCTCCAGTCCATCCCAACTGGCAACCAAGGCATGTTCCGTTAACGATGTGACACTTTTTTTCCTGACATTTTTCCGGACACTGCAAATTACAGTCTACACCATAGACTCCCTTTTCTGCACAACCTATTCAGATGAAAAAATATATATATTTAGCCATTTTTATTCATCATTTATCTATCCGCATGTATGCCATCATTCTTCGTTAAAGAAGCTGCATTTAGGGATTATTTTATAGTACAGATTGAATCGTTAAAATTTAATGTACTTATTGCTTAATTATTAATTATCAAATGTGTCTGCTTACCTAGGACGACCACTTCACATAGCTCTGTATAGGAACGCATTTCATACCAACTTGGATACGAAACTCCAGGTAATCTTTCGTTAAAGTAAAAGATGTAACGAGCGTATCCAACACATGTTGTGTTGAAATCCAAGGGAGGTAAATCTAGATCGTTCTTGTAACAAAGTGAACCATCTTCTTTCTTTGTGGTATTTGACATGTAAACGGAAAATCCAGCAAATCGACCTCTTTGTCTTAATTCTAAAAATATTGCACTATTTATAAGTTTACAAGACGGGAAGATAAAAAAAACCCCGCAGAAATAAAAATCGATGCCTCGCATAATTGCAAATTCTGTCCAGCTAATGTCCAATATATATTCATATTCCTGTTCCTGCCAATCAAAGAATAAAAAAAAACACATATTTGTAATATATTAGAGTGCCTGCATATAAAGTTGCCTACTTTGTGGTCACGTATCATTATTTACTTACTAAACAAATAATATGTTGACGGTGCGACCGTTAGGGCCAGCGCAGATACCTTTCAGTTTTGATTGAGATCGGGCTCGTCAAACCGCACGTGATATTTGCTACGTCTAGACTCTGACGTCATATGACGTCGTATGAATGCTGCATTACCAAAACGGAGTCTGATCAGTGCTAATTTTAATCAAGAACGTTTAATCTACTATTTACCTACTCTATATCCATTAAATCAAGGTGGTTTTATTTTTTGTTAAATTTTTTTGCTAGCGCGAGAACGTGATTTGCGTCGAGATGCAATTCGCTAAGCATTATGGGACCACAGGTAACTGCGGAAAAAAATTCATTTGGATCAATGTGCAAAGTCCGAATTTCCTCTTCGCCCAGGCGTAGCTTTAAGAGCTCGCAGTGACGAGCGGCGCTTCGCGCCGCTCGCTGCGCTCGCTATAAGTAATCCAGTATTTTTCAAACTTAACTTAAATCTCCATTTCAGTGGATTGTTTGCATTTGAATATAGCAATTTGTAACATTATCATTCTTAGTTTTAAAAAAAGCGTATACTGTAAAGAACGGGTTTTAACATTTTCATTATTTTTTTTCTAAGTAAATATATGGAGGATATAAAATTTTCATTCGAAGTTTTCTATTTGTCCTCAAGATAAATTTCGATACATGGTATACAAATTTGAATCATTCTGGCTAATATTTGTAAAGAGACCAATGTTCAAGTGCTGTGATTTACAATTAGGCCATTCCAAGGTTTTTCTCTGTTTAGCGTCCACCCATCTTTCAAAAACCTACCTAACTATTCGCAAAAAACACACAAGCCAAAAATAAAACACAGACTTTAAAGTCTTAAAAATGATGTCATTCAAAACATTTAATTTCATTAATCTAATTTTCTCGAAAAAAAAAAACAACAAACTATTCTTTTGCAAAATCAATGTATTAAATGATTAAAATAAACATAATATGATATATTGTACAAAAATATTTACAGAAATTGATATAATTTAGAGAATTTAAGAGATTTTGACCAGAAAAATCAATTTTAGGGCTTCTTATTTTGTTTGCTTTTTTACTATGTGGTGTCAAAAACCAAGGCGCATGCGGACGCTAAACATAGAAAAAACTTGGAATGGCCTTATTGAAGAAGACACAGATATCACAGCATTATTACAGTTTGGGGCTTTCTCAAAATTTGGAAGACTCGCAGATCTTAAAAGGATATGATTACATGTATATAAAACATGAACAGTATTTTTTAGCACACCGCTAGGAAAAAATCTTATCATTAATTAGTCATCTTTTGATTTTTGTAAGCATGTAAAAAAAAAAATCAAAATATTGTTAGCGTTTATATAATCCAATTTAAAATAATTCTTTTTCTTGATTTCTATTCTAATGTGTTAGTAAACATTTCCGGATTAAAACTGACAGTTCACAGAGGTAAAGAGAAAATCTATCTAATGCATAATAATAAATTTTTTTTGTCAGACAAATGCTCATTTTCAGAGTTGTTTAGTCAATATATCCTTCCTGAGCGAAAGCTAAAAAATATGTAAACAAAGATTACAAGATAAATATCCTTAAAGTGTAGGTTAAGTAGGCTTAGAGAGGACTTGTGCTCGATGGAGGATGAGCAGAGTGATGAAAACGAAGAAAAACAACTTATATCCTGAACATAAAATATGGCATCTAGTTTCATTTTTTTTTTCATAAGGATGAGCTCGGTGGGTTGAGTTTTACTCCTTACACACGTATTTTTTTCACACACGACACGAATTCTTTATGTCACTCTTTGCTTTTTTAATCAGAAATTTATCTTCAAAACTTGAGAGAATTTAATTAGTTTAGAGGATGTTAACTGGGCAGAAAACTATAAAACTATATTTAATAAAAATAATCAAATGTGACGCTATAAGAAATGAAGAAATGAAAATTACTATGAGTAGAAACAAGATACCCATGGGCTGTAAAGCTTACCTGAGTCACTATGGCCCTATGTTTTAAACCCCCCACCCACCCACCCAAATACATTCCTATGTAACACATCGATCGCACATTTTCCCCCCATGGTACCACTCTGGGTCATAAATTCATGATACCTGAATCTACATTACCCTTGGATGCATAACTATGACTAAACATGGCTTTGTTGTTCTTGAGAAGAAGATTTATTCCTATATACTCAACGTATAAGTCAAACTCTGATTGCCCATTATGCCCCTTCCCCCCCCCCCCCCACATGGCCACGAGTTGGTGGGTGGGATGGGGTAAATTGGGGTGATTTGAACAAACTTGAATCTTCACAACCGGAGGATGCCTGCATATAGATATGACTTATCATGGCTTTGATGTTCTAAAGATAATTTTTCTTATAGATTCACAGAAAAAAAACAACTTAGATCGCCCATGCGGCCACAGCCTACCCTACCCTAAGGAGTCATGATTTAAGCAAATTTTAATCTTCACTACCTGACGATACTTCCATCTAGTTATGTCTACCCATGGTTTTTCTGCATGTTCTTGAGAGAATGATTTTTGAAGTGTTTAATGTACCTAGTATGTACTTCTGTTTAAAACTTTGATAACCTTTTGTGGCCCAACCCTACCCTCAGGGGTCAGGATTTGTACAATCTTGAATCTACAATAAATACATGTACACAAGATTTCAGATTAGTTTAATCTTTTATGACCCAGTGGATCTTGAAAAGAAGAATTTTAATTTTGTTTGTTTGTTTGTTGTTTTACGTCCCTCTCGAGAATTTTTCACTCATATGGAGACGCCACCACTTGCTGGTGGAGAGCTGCAAATTTTGACCTATACTCGGCACTTAGGGCCATTTAGCAGTGAGGGATCTTTTTCGTGAAGAATTTTGAAAGATGCTATTAAATTTTCACTAATTCTTCATTATCTCCCCTTGTCAAAAGGTGTGGTCCCTCAATTGAAAATGTGATTCCTTAATCCAGGGACTGTGTGCCAAGTTTGTTTAATGGTAACTCAGTGGTTCTTAGTGAAGAAGATAAAAATGAAAAATTTTGATCAAAAAAGTTCACTTAAGCTAAAGCTTTGGCTCAAGTGAGGTAAAAAAAAACAACAAAAAAAAAACAAGAGGCCCAGGGGCCACATCGCTCACCTGAGCACCATGGCTAGGAAAAAGCAGAAATCAGTTCAGTCTTAAAAGGTTGAAAAGTTTAAATATAAAAGTATTTCGGGGGTGGGATGGGGGGTGGGGGGTGGGGGGGGGTTATGAATTGAACAAATTTGTATCTACATAATCTGAGGATGCTTCCATTTAAATATGACTAATCATGGCTTTGCTGTCTTTGAGAAGAAGATTTTTAAAGATTTTTCCTATATATTCCTATGTAAAACTTTGATCGCCCATTGTGGCCCCATCCGACCCCTGGGGGTCATGATTTGAACAAATTTGAATCTACACTATCTGAGGATGATTCCATGTAAATATGACCAATCATGGCTTTGATGTTCTTGAGAAGAAGATTTTTAAAGATTTTTCCTATATATTCCTATGTAAAACTTTGATCGCCCATTGTGGCCCCACCTGACCCCCAGGGGTCATGATTTGAACAAACTTGAATCTACACTACCTGAGGATGCTTCCACATAAGTTTCATATTTTCAAGCACAGTGGTTCTTTTTTTAATGATGCCATTAATTTTTCACGAATTCTTAATTATCTCCCCTTGGAAGAAGGCGTGGCCCTTCATTTGAACAAACTTGAATCCCCTTTACCCAAGAATACTTTGTGGCAAGTTTGGTTGAAATTGGCCCAGTGGTACTGGAGAAGAAGTCGAAAATGTGAAAAGTTTACAGACGGACAGACGGACTACAGACAAAATGTGATCAGAAAAGCTCACTTGAGCCGAAGGCTCAAGTGAGCTAAAAATCGATTGATATGCATTGAGAATGTATAGCTTTGGGGCCAAAACAACACTTTGTAGAAAATCGCTACCACAAAAAAAATTATGCCGTGCAAAGAAATTGGCCATAATTACATGTAGATGCTTCAACAAAAGCAGATAACAGAATGATAAAGCTATGGATTTTATTATCTTTAACTTTATTTATCCCTCTGAACGTTTCATTAGTAATTGAGAGACAATATTTTTTCCCTATTTTCAAACATCTTATTTTTGTTTATAGGTTATAAGAGTAATTGTATCAAATTAAGTATTTCCGCTAGCGAAGCAAAATCCAATTTTGCTTAAGTACTAGTGTTCAATTTAAAAGCAATTTGAAGCATTTTGATATAAAAATAATACTATACCATATCCATCGTATAATTTGAATATTATGCGAATGCTGTGGACACTAAATATGCCACCCAGATCCACAAACCACCAAACAGTGTAGAGGTATTCACGTGGGCTGATTGGCTCAGGCCTCATACAGGTAATATTACTTCTATCCACAGCCGAACTGGAATTAAACTGAAGACAATACCAGGAGTGTCCAGAACAAGGATACGTCGTACTTTGTGCAGTGGTTTTATTTTTTGACAGGTCCTCTTCAAAGAAATAAATAAAAAAAAATTAAAATATGAATTACAGTTGAACTTTGTTATCTTGAAATTCGATACCTCGAATACCAAGGACATGTCGAAGTGAGTTTAACCAAATCTGTAGGTATTTTAACTTTGATATTCAAAACCCTATTATGTTTTTTCTTAGTCAATACACAACAAAGTTTCACTATAATCATTGTTGC